CTGACCCCCATGCTAAAGGGTACTCTAGACCCACTGTAAAGAGGCTTAAAGCCAAGGATCAAAAAGATCAGATTGATTCTTGACTAATTTAACTGCCTGCCAGAATAAAGTCTAATCCTCTTTAAAAAGCCAAAAATATTAGTACTCAACAAGGTAAAATTTACTATATCCAGCACCTAATCAAAAATTACTACAAAGAATCAGAAAAATATGACCCATAATGAGAAAAAAATCAGTCAATAAAGACAGATATAGAAAAGACAGATGATGGAATTAAAAGACAAGGACTCAAAGAGAGTAAATATGAATATCTACCTATAATCTACCTAAAAGTGTACAACAAACCACTTCAAAATTTAGTGGCTTTAAAAAGGTCATTATTTTGTTTATGAATCTGGAATTTAGCCAGGGCTCAGAGAATGGAAGGCTCCACACAGCGTCAGATGTGGCAACTTGACTTGAGATCTGAAGGATCTACATCCAAGATGGCTCATTAATATGGCTGGCAAGTTGGTGCTGGCTGTCAGCTGAGAGCTTAGCTGAGGCCTTGGGCTTTGCTTCATTTCTTTATGGGCTTCTCCATTTCATGTGAGTTTTCTCACAGCATGGTACATAGGCATTGAGGGAGAGAATGACTTAAAAGAGAGAGAACAAGGCAGAAGTTGTATTGTCTTTTATGACCTAGCCTTGGGAATAACAATATGATAACATCCACACTCTATTAAGCAAGAAATCCACAAGGCCTGGCCAGATTCAAGAAGATAACACAGATGCCACCTCTTGATTAGATAGTAGCAAGGTTGTAGAAGAGCATGCACAATTGCAACAGGAAATAATGTCATAAGCACACTGGAAAATAAAGCCTACCATTAATATGTTCAGAAAATTAAAAGAAAACTTTAAAATGAGATAAAAGATAAAATGGAATTTCTAGATAGAAAAAAGAAATCTGAAATAAGAAATTCGTTGGATGGGATTAACAGCAGTCTAAACATTATAGAAGGCAGTGGACATAATGATATAACTATAGAAACTTTTCAAAATGAAGCATAGAAAACAAAAAGCTCTCATCCACCATTAAAATGAATAGATATCAATAGTCTATAAGACAGTATAAAGCAGAATAATATGTAAATGGAGTCTCATACCTATGATAAAGTTTAATTTATAAATTAGGCACAATATCTAATAATAAAATAGAACAATTATAACCAATCAATGAGATATCACACCAAAGGAACAAGCAACATAAAAAAATTAGACTTCATCAATATTAAAAACTTTTATAAAAAGGCAACCCACAGAATGGGAGAAACTATTTGGAAATCACGTCTGATAAGGAATTAATATCTAAAACTCAACAAGAAAACAAAAAACCCAATTCAAAAATGGGCAAAGGACTTGAATAGCCATTTCTCTAAAGAAGATATCAAATGGCCAATAAGACATGAAGTGTCTCAACATCACTAATCATTAGAGAAATACAAACCAAAACCATGAGATACCATTCCACCCATTAGGATGGCTATTATCAAAAACGACAATAACAACAAAAACAGAAAACCAGTGTTGGCATGGAGGTGGAGAAATTGGAACTCCTGTACATTGCTGGTGTGAATGTAAAATGGAGCAGCTGCTATGGGAAACAGTAGGGCAGTACCTCAAAAAATTAAACATACAATTACCATTTGATCCAGCAATTCCACTTCTGGGTATATACACAAAGGAAATAAAATCCACTATCTTGAATAGATATGTGTACCTTCATGTTCACTGTAGCATTACTTAATTTTAGTAGCCAAGAAATTGAAAATGCTAAGGGTCTGTTGACAGGATAAAGACACTAC